TGGGCGCGATGACGTAGGCGGCGCCGGCGCAGGCGTAGTCTGTCGGCCGCGCTGAGGCGCCACTGGGTGTGTGGGCGGAGGTTCGTGGAGAGCGTGTGAGCAGCTGGGGCGAGCGGGGTGCGGGAAGTTGGAGGGGTCCCGAAAAAAGAAAGGAGGTGGGGCTGGTACAGGACAGCGTCCCACACGCTCTCCGGGCCCTTTCTGGCGGAGCCAGATGGCTGCCGCGCTCATTTGATCCTGGGTCTCCTGTAGGGCCGCCGGCCCCGCTCCGCACTGTGAAGTGGAAGGCTCAGGGTTGTGTATGTTAGGGGGCTTCCTTCGACCCTTGATCCTTGGGGGACGTGGTTTATTGAGTGAAGCAACCTGGAGTTCTGGCTTGTAATTGGAGCAGGGGGACAGGAACTACGGCTAAATCTCTTGGATCGGTGTCCTCATCTGTAAAATGAAGCGGTGGGGTTGTTTTTGAGGCCCCTTGCTGAGCTCCCATTCCCTGGTATTCCTGCCTCCCAGGATCTCACTTTTTATCATTTTTCTGAGTAGGAGGAGAAATCCTTTGATAATGGACGTGTTTTACACCTGGGAGTAATGCTTTGGAGTTCCGCCGCTTGCCTGTATTAGGATTAATTGACCTTGGGTAGAATTAGTTTGCAAAAAAGGTTTTACATTGTTAATACTCCAAGTAAAACCCATTTTAATTTTGTTAAAAGATCAGAATGTCTGGATTTGGGGATGTTAGCTTTGTTTTTCATAGATTTAACTGTTTAATATTGACATTTAATGTTTTCCCTCATTTCAGAGGCAAATCCCCAAAGCATATTGAAGTTGATACTCTTGAATTTTATGTCACTTTTTTCTTTATTAGAATTCTTGAGGTCATCTGCACCTTCTGACTGGGAAAAGATGGTCAACGTCTTGAAAGGAGTGCTTATAGAATGGTTAGTAGTTTTGATGCTTCATGAGTTTTACATTTACTTATTGAATCTTGATTTACATGTATTCCTTTTCTAATATTATGTTTTGTTTTTAAGATCTGAATGAAATCAAGTCTTGGCTTTCTCAACTTCAGTTTTCTTACTTATGTAACAAGTGGGACCGATTTGGGTGCTGATCTCTTTCAGGTGTCAGATTTCAGATGTAAATACATCTTAACATGATCCTTTATGTGCATAGTTGTGATTTAAAAGATTTGGGGTGAGGTCTGAAATTTTGCCTTTTTTTTTTTTGAGTTGGAGTCTCACTCTGTTGCCCAGACTGGAGTGCAATGGCACACTCCCGGCCACCGCAGCCTCAACCTGCTGGGCTCCAGCGATCCTTCCGCCTCAGCCTTCCAAGTAACTGGAACTATAGGCGCGCACTGCCACGCCCAGTTAATTTTTGATTTATTGTAAAGACAAGATCCCCAAATCACGGGCTCAGGCAATCTACTCGCCTCAGCCTCCCAAAGTGCTGGGATTACGGGATGAGCCACCAAGCCCGGCGGAGATTTTGCATTTCTAATAAGCTCCAGATGATGCTGTTGTCTGGGGATTATACTGGGCAGCAAGGTGACAGAGCCACTGGAACCAAGGGAGAACTCTGAGGCTGGATACGAGGACAGCAAACTAGGTGGAAAAATCAATTAGGAAAGAAAACGTTTACACTTCAGCTCCTCTAACAAACCTGTACTCTGTCTTTAGGGCTAAGCCAAAGGCTTGCCGCTTAGATTTCAATGAGTCTTCTCAGTTTTGTTCTTAGATGAAATCCAGCCACAATTTTCTTTCAAATTAAAATATAGGTTTAACTCAATTCCAACTGTCATGCTAAAAGGATTATTTTGGAAACGGATTAAATTATTTCAAAGTTATTCTACAGGAAACAATGACAAAGAAAATAATGGGTGTGTGATGGGATGAGAGAGAGTAGACTAAAACTATGTGATAAAGAAGAAGGCATCAGGCATCCTTAGGGAAGGGAATACGTGATGTTGGACAACTGTTTAGCTATTTGGCAACAAACAGAAAACAGCTGATTTAGGTCCTCACCTCATTATATGTCCCTCCTCCCAATAAATTCTGGATGAATGAAATTTAAAACATCAACAAAAGCAAGACTTCCACAAGAGAAGTAAATATTTATCAAACCCACAGGTGAACATTAAACTTAAAACTAAAAGAAACAAAAGGGAAAAAAACTGATAGCTGACACTGTGTGTATCTTCTGTATTTAAAAATAACATTAAAAGCCCAGCCATGCCAGGTGTGGTGGCTCAAGCCTATAATCTCAGCACTGTGGGAGGCCAAGGCAAGAGGATTGCCTGAGCCCATGGGTTCAAGATCAGTCTTGGCAACATAGTGAGACCTCGTCTCTGCAATAAATAAAAAATAATAATAAGCTGGGCATGATGGCGCATGCCTGTAATTCTGTAATTTCAGTTACTTGGAAGGCTGAGGTGGAAGCATCACTTGAGCCCAGCAGGTCGAGGCTGTGAGCATGCCACTGCACTCCAGCCTGGGCAACAGAGTGAGACTCCGACTTAAAAAAAAAAAAAGATGCATTTACATGTTGAGAAGCACTGTTAAATCAGCTTCAGATTAGAGAATTGTGTTGAACTAGGCTTGTTTCATTTTATTTTGCAGATAGGTACTATACTTGCAAAACTATTTCGTTTTCTCCTTCAAAGTTTTGTTAAGGGTTCCTGGCCTGTGACCCCCCACAACCCTTTTGACAGTTTGTTACAACATTGGGTATGCCAGGCTCAGGGGCAGGCCTCAGAAACAGAATCTCTTCCTCCTCTGGCCCTGTTTTCACTTGCTGCAAGGCAGGACTGTGATGTTCCCCTGCCTTTCTGATTGTGGGTCTAAGACCTTCCCCAAAAATGGTTCCACTCTGTAAGGAATGCTGATGTCATTAAAAGGCTTTAAATCCATTAAAATGCAAAACTAGGTTCAGATAATTTCTGGAGAGTTGAGTGGAGTTTCCTGGAGGGTGGTGCCCAGGGAGGGTATGGAGGCTCCTCTCCCCTTCCCCCAAGGGTGGCATGTCCCATCATCTGCATCCTCTGGGATATCCTTTATAAGAAGCAGGTCAGTGTGTTTCCCTGAGTTCTGTGAACCTCTCCCATAAATGAATGAAACCTATCGAGGGGATTGTGGGAACCCCAACTTGAAGCTGATTGATTAAAAGTTCCAAAGGCCCGGACTTATGAGTAGTATGGGGGGTCTTGTGGGACTGCACCCTCACCCTGTGGGATCTGACACTATCTCCAGACAGATAGTGTTGGAATTGAATTGGAGGACACCTAGCTGGTGTTCGCTGCTTGTTGGTGGGGAGAAACTCCCACATTTGGTCACAGAAGTCTCTGTGTTGATTGTTGTGGTGTGAGAGCAGTGGAAAAAACTCAGTTTTGGAAAGTTTCCCAAAAGCAAAAGTGAATTCTATTTTTTTTCTTTTTTCTTAAATTTTTTTATTTTAAAGATATGGAGTACAATTCAGGGTTAGGTATACAAACGATTATGCAGGTAACCTTGTTGATGAGGTGTGCCCCTCCCTCCCCTAGCAGTTTCCCTCAACTGCCAATCCCACCCCCTCGCCCCAAAGTGAATTCTAAAATGTAGCCTGCAGCTGGGCTGGTGGCTCAACCTGTAATCCTGCACTTTGGGAGGCTGAGGCAAGTGGATTGCTTGAACCCATGGGTTTGAGAACAGCCCAGGCAACTTGACGAGACCTTGTCTCTACAATAAAATTAAAAATTAACCAGCATTATAGAGTATACCTGTAGTTCCGGCTACTTGGAAGGCTGTAGCAGAAGGATCACCGGAGCCCAGCAGGTGGACACTGGGGTGTCCGTGAGCATGCCACTACCCTCCAGCCCGGGCAACAGTGAGACTCCAACTCAAAAATAAAAATAAAGTGTAGCCTGTATAGTTTTTTAAAAGGGTAACCGACTGCCCAAAGATACAAGTCTTCTGAGAAGATTTTAGGTTGAAGACATGACATAGATTCCCAAAGGGTGTAACCAGAGCTGGTGGATCCTCATTCATTATCAGTCAGGTACAGATATTGAGACAATGACTGGAAAGGTTCAGTTTCCTTCATGTCTGATGTCAAAGAGAATACTTATTAATATGATATCGGAGCCGGGCTCGGTGGCTCAGCCTGTAATCCCGCACCTTTTGGGAGGCTGAGATGAGTGGATTGCCTGAGCCCGCAGGTTCGAGACCCACCTGGGCAGCGAGACCTCATCTCTACAATAAATAAAAAAAAATCAGC